ACAATGAGACCCCAAATTTCACAACTATTACTCCCTCTGTCCCAAAATAATGGTCCCTTTTGGGGAATTTAACTTTTTTTGGTAATACAATTATTGCATTTGAAAAAAGTTGATTTTTCAAAATTACCCTTTTGATAGTACATTTTTTGAGAATATCAATGCCATAATTGTACTTTTTATATTGTTTATTAATTTAAAAGAAGGGCAAAATACGAAATTTATATTATTTTTGTACTTGATTTTTGAAGAGGGAGTAATATTTTGGGACAATGAAAAATGAAATAAGGGACTAATATTTTGGGACAGAGGAAGTATTGTTTTTATCTTTTTACCACTAACACAGAACATTCCCCTTTCAAATAAATCTCAATCATACAATAATTATTCTATGATGTTTTTCTCAGTAAATTTTCTTGGCGGTGAGTACAAAAAGTAGAACACTTAAAGAGAATAATGGAAAATATATTCAAAACCTTCTGAAACACTATACAACTTGTTCAAACTATTACAACAATCAAAAACTTATGAAAAATCCTATTTATTTGGCTAGGGTTTCATCAAAACCCTGGAACATGGACGACTAGCCACTCATAGAGGAGGGGGAAGAGGTAAAGGAAGCAACCACCATGAAAGACATCCTTGAAAACTCCAAACTCGTTTCACTTCCAAACCCTAGCCTCTCATTTTCTTTAGAAAATCTCAATACCCCCTTTCAGCTTTTTCTTCTTCCTTTTATACCTTCAAGCCTTTAAAATAGGTTTAGAACAATGCGCACACAAAACGAGGTACGACTGCACACGCGAAAAATGTCACCATATGTGCGGCGAAGGCTCCGCATGTTGTTGGGTATACCTCCTTATTGGAGTGTGGGACCCAAATTGATTTATTAAAAGAGTTTTAATTTGGTTTGGTTTAGGTATAATATATTTTTATATATTATATCTAATTTTGTGGAGACCCAATTCAATTTGGAAACAATTAAGGTTTTGATGAAAAACCCTAAAATTAACAATATATAAATATTGTTTATGTGTTCCGTGCGGGTGGTAGTAGCTTGAATACATATATTGTTTTCACTAAAAGCAAAGAAACAGTAGCTACATGATTTGTTTCAGCCTCGGTAAATGTGCAGGTTGATTTGCTTAGTTTATTAGGAGCTTTGGAAATTTTCAGTGCATCTTCAGCTAGGTGCTTTGGTGAAGTTGATTTGGTTCGTTATTTTGGGTCTTCTATAACTTTGGTTCGAAGATTTTTGTTCGTCTATTTGGTGAGGTATTTCCTCTTGTTTATTTGTGATTATTTGGAATTCACCTAAGGGTGGTTTTGTGAGACCATTCATGTCTCATTTATAATCGTTTGGAAACTATTTGGTTGATAATGGAATCGGATTTCGATCCCGTTGATGTACCTCACATTGAGGGAACCACATAAAATTCTTGTGTTGCTTTTGATTTAATTTTTCCGCATTAGTTTTTATTCTCATTAATTGATTTACTTGTGGGGAATCATATATTTTCCCTAACAACTGGTATCAGAGCTTACGATTTATTTGGGTTTAATTATTTGTGTAAATCAATAGAGGGAAATGTGGGTCGTATGTCTAGCTTTAATGGAAGCAATTGGGTAACTTGAAAAACTAAAATAGAGGACCTAGTATTTTGTAAAGATTTGTATGGGCCAATTGAGGGTGATAGTGGCAAACCTGATGATATGAAAAACAATGAATGGAAGAGGCTTAATCGAAAAGTCGTTGGTATTATCCGTCAATAGATTGATGACAGTGTGTTTCATCATGTTGCTACTGAAACTTCAGCACATAATTTATTAAAAAAATTAGAAGGCCTTTATGATAGGAAATCAGCCACAAATAAAACTTTTCTGTTTCGTAAGTTGGTTAATTTAAAATATAAAGAGGGCAACCCTATATCGGAACATCTGAATGAAATAAAGAGCATTGTTAACCAACTTGCTTCTATGAAAATTATTTTTGATAATGAGTTGCAGGCTTTGATGCTACTTAGTTCCTAACCCGAAAGTTGGGAGACTTTGGTTGTGACAGTTAGTAATTCGGCACCCGATGGAGTTGTCACAATGGGCCAAGTCACTAGTAGCTTGTTGAATGAAGAAACTAGAAGAAAATCAGCGAGTTCCTCTCATTCAGAAGCATTTGTTATGAGAGGCCGAAGCAAAACAAGGGGGAGAAGTAAGACTCATGGTCGTGATCAAAGCCGTGACAAATCAAGAGATGATTCTTTTTCAAAGAAAGACATTGAGTGCTATTATAGCCATAAGAAAGGGCACATGAAGCGGGAATGAATGCCGAAAGCTCAAGAATAAGGAGAAAATGTGTGACAAACGTGTGGATAAGAAGCAAGAAGACACAACGACAGTTACTACTGATGATCTCATGGTTGTTTGTGAAGATAAATGTATCGATTTTGTGGGCCAAGAGAGCAATTGGGTGATTGATTCTGGTGTTTCTTTTCATGTGACTTCTCGAGTTGATTTCTTCATTACCTACACCAAAGGAGATTATAATTCTGTTCGAATGGGTAATGAAGGTTTGTCAAAGATTATTGGCATGGGTGATATTTGCTTGGAAACAAATTTAGGCTGCAAGTTGTTGCTTAAAGATGTGAGGCATGTTCCCGACATTCACCTCAATTTGATCTCTACTGGGAAGCTAGATGATGAAGGCCTCAACAACAAATTTGGTGATGGAATATGAACGCTCACAAAGGGTTCTTTGGTGGTGGCTAAGTGCAAGAAGACTCATACACTTTATTCGATGCAAGGAAAAATTTGTAAAGGTGTTGTCAATGCACTTCAAGATGATACTTCTATTGAATTGTGGCATACGCGGCTTGGCCATATGAGTGAAAAGGGGCTACAAGTTGTGTTCAAGAAAGAGCTTCTACCCGGTTTAAAAGGTATGCATCTCAAAACTTGTGTTCATTGTTTGGCGGGTAAACAACATAGAGTTTCTTTTCAGAAAAATGTTGCTTCTAAAAAAGAAAATGTTTTGGAGTTGATTCATTCGGATGTTTGTGGTCTTTTAAAAGTTAGAACACATAGTGGTGCACTTTTTTTTGTTACTTTCATTGATGATTATTCAAGAAAAGTTTGGACTTTTCTACTAAAAACTAAAGATAAAGTTCTAGAAGTATTTAAGCATTTTCAGGCCATGGTTGAAAGAGAAACAGGGCAGAAATTGAAGTGCATCCGATCAGACAATGGTGGTGAATACATTGGGCCATTTGCAGTCAAGGTATTCGACACCAAAAGACAGTTAAGAAGACTCCTCAACAAAATGGCGTTGCCGAGAGAATGAACCGCACCATTGTGGAAAGAACAAGGTGTTTGCTTTCACAAGCTAAATTGCCAAGATCCTTTTGGGGTCAGGCAATGAGTACAGCGGTTGACGTGATCAATTTGTCTCATTGCTATCCTTTGAATGGTGATGTTCCTGAAATAGTTTGGACTAGCAAAGATGTGTCTTATGAGCACTTGAGAGTGTTTGGTTGCTGAGCTTTTGTTCACATTCCAAATGATGAGAGGTCCAAGCTTGATAGTAAGTCAAGACAATGTATTTTTTTTTACTATGGGCGTGATGAATTCGGGTATAGATTGTGGGATCCGGTCGACAAGAAAGTTATTCGAAGCCGTAATGTTGTGTTTCTTGAAGACCAAACAATTGAAGACTTTGGCAAAGGTGATCAACCGGAGCCAAAAACTAGTGATCTCATTGACATTGGTCCATCTCCTTCATCTTCAGTTGATGATGAAAATGAGGGAGATGTGCAGCCACCTATTGAAGATATAGAGGATGATGCTAATCCTAATGAAGTTGAGCCAGAAATTGAGAAAGGACATCCAACTCAAGAACCGCTACCACAACTTGAGTTGAGGAAATCTATAAGGGACCAACAACCTTCAAGAAAGTATCCTCTCAATGAATTTGTGTTGATTTCTGATCAAGGGGAGCCCGAGAGCTACCAAGAAGCAATTGAGCATACAAAGAAAGGTGATTGGAAAAAGGCCATGGAAGAGGAGATGAACTCCTTACTTGAAAATCACACTTATGATTTAGTAAAGTTGCCTAAAGAGAGGAAAATTCTGAAAAATAAGTGGGTTTTCAAATTGAAGAATGATAGTAAGAATCTGAGGTACAAAGCACGTCTTGTTGTAAAATGCTTTGGGCAAAAAAAAGGCATTGACTTTGATGAGATTTTTTAACTGGTTGTGAAGATGTCTTCTATTCGGGTTGTACTTGGCATGGCTGCAAGTATGAACCTTGAAGTTGAACAACTTGATGTGAAGACCACATTTCTTCATAGTGACCTTGAAGAAGAAATTTACATGGAGCAACGGAAAGGTTTTGTGGAAAAAGAAAGAGAAATTTGTTTGAAGATGAAGAAAAGTTTGTATGGTCTCAAGTACGTCCCGCGACAATGGTACAAAAAATTTAACTCTTTCATGATGAATAATGGTTTTTCTAAAACCCCTTCGGACCATTGTATGTTTGTGAAAAATTTTCCAGATGGCAAATTTATTATTCTTTTGCTTTATGTTGATGACATGTTAATTGTGGGTCAAGATTACACCATGATTAACAGGTTGAAATTGGAGTTAAACAAGTCTTTTGCTATGAAAGATTTGGGACCGGCAAAGTAAATACTTGGTATGAAAATTGTTCGTGATCGCAAAGAGGGACTAATTTGGTTGTCTTAAAAAAGCTACATTGAGAAAGTTCTTGAGAGGTTCAACATGGATAAAGCAAAGCCAGTTGGTTGTCCACTTGCAGGTCACTTCAAGCTTAGTTCGAATCAATGTCCTACAAGTGAAAAAGACAAAGAAGAGATGCAGAAAATTCCTTAGGCTTCAGCAGTTGGTTTTTTGATGTACGCCATGGTTTGCACAAGGCCGGATATTGCTCACGCAGTTGGTGTGGTGAGTCGTTTTTTTTCTAATCCGGGTAAAGGACATTGGGCATCGGTAAAATGGATTCTAAGGTATCTTCGAGGGACTTCGAAGGTGTGTTTGTGTTTTGGGGATGGTATGCCGATGCTTGATGGGTTCACGGATTCTGACATGGCTGGTGATGTTGATTCTAGAAAATCTACTTCGGGGTATTTGATGACTTTTGTAGGGGGAGCTGTGGCATGGAAATCTAAATTACAAAAATGTGTTGCTCTCTTAACTACCGAAGCTGAATTTATTGCTATTACAGAAGCTTGCAAAGAAGAGTTATGGTTGAAGAAATTTTTGCAAGAGTTGGGTTTGAAGCAAGAAAAGTATGTGCTTTATTGTGATAGTCAAAGTGCTATTCATTTGAGTAAAAATTGTATTTTTCATTCGAGATCGAAACACATTGATGTGAGATACCATTGGATTCGTGATGTGTTAGATTCGAAACGGTTACAACTCGAAAAAGTTTACACAGATGATAATATTTCAGATATGTTGACTAAGACTTTGTCGAAGGACAAACATTTAAAGTGTCGAACTTTGGCGGGTATGGTTGATGTCTCCACCTAAGTCAGTAGTGGGAGAATTGTTGGGTATACCTCCTTATTGGAGTGTGGAATCCAAATTGATTTATTAAAAGAGTTTTAATTTGGATTGGTTTAGGTATAATATATTTTTATATATTATATCTAATTTTGTGGAGACCCAATTCAATTTGGAAACAATTAAGGTTTTGATGAAAAACCCTAAAATTAACAATATATAAATATTGTTTATGTGTTCCGTGTGGGTGGTAGTAGCTTGAATACATATATTGTTTTCACCAAAAGTAAAGCAACAGCAGCTACATGATTTGTTTCAGCCCCGGTAGCCGTGCGGGTTGATTTGCTTAGTTGATTAGGAGCTTTGGAATTTTTCAGTGCATCTTCGGTTAGATGCTTTGGTGAAGCTGATTTGGTTCGTTATTTTGGGTCTTCTACAACTTTGGTTTCGAAGATTTTTGTTCGTCTATTTAGTGAGATCTTTCCTCTTGTTTATTTGTGATTATTTGGAATTCACCTAAGGGTGGTTTTGTGAGACTATTCGTGTCTCATTTGTAATCGTTTGAAAACTATTTGATTGATAGTGGAATTGGATTTCGATCCCGTGGACGTACTTCACATTGAGGGAACCATGTAAAATTCTTGTGTTGTTTTTTATTTAATTTTTCTGCATTAATTTTTATTCTCATTGATTGATTTACTTGTGGAGAATCACATATTTTCCTTAACACATGTTTGGGAAAAGCCCTCAGCATATGCAGTTTTTTTCAAAATGCATGGGCTTCGGGAGGAGAGGTTGCACGTGCGGGAATGACCTTCTGCAGTGCGGGTTGACTTTTTTTTTTGTTGAAAAAAAAAATAGCTAAAACTCTATGCTTTTGCTCATTTGGTTTTTTTACAGTACAACATGACTATCTACAGAGATGAGCTTGAGACAATCTTGGCCAAAACTGCTACAGAAAACAAGATTGTGATAATAGCAGTAGTAAACAAAGCCTATGTTGAAGGCATAGTTTTAAATCGCGGTATCGGGTAACGTAACGGTATCGATCGCGGAGTCTCGGTATCGGTAGTATCGGCCGGTACGTATCGGGAATCGGGTGTCGCGGCCGTGAAATTTTAAAAATCATTAGCAATCCCTCTAAAACTCAATTTTATGCATTTTTTTTACTCTTTTAGCCTTAATTTGTCACATTTTAATCAAAATCTTGATATGTAGGAGCACTTTTGACTCATTTTCAACTAAATGATATGTATTTATTTTAGTCACAATAAAATATTTAAAATAAAAATAAAAATCTAATTAGAATAAACCTCTTTAAAAAAAAAAATTCTAAATCTTAAACATCTACACCAAAACAAGACACAAATAAAAAAAATAAAAAAAAAAATATAGTACAAAAACATGGCACCAAAATAAATAAATAAAAAAAACCAATAACAAACCTTTCCACTAATCCAACTTTTGACATATTGGATTGAAGATGTATTTTTTTTATTTTTTTCCCCTTCTTCTGCTCAGTAGAAATATATATATATATATATATATATTAATATAAACAGTGGTGGTGTAGTGTAGAAGAAAAGAGAAAACAAAACAGGGGGGGCTCTCTCTATCTCTCTCACTCTCTCGGCCTCCACTCTCTCTCACCCCGAAATTCTTCTTTGGAGCCATACATGAACTTCTCTATCTCTTTGCCTCTTCTCTCTCTCTCTCTATATTTCTGATTTTTGGTGAGACCAAACCCACAGCAACAGCAATGGTTCCAAAAAACAGAGCATCAACAACTCACCAAAAACAGAGCATAAACACAAATTATAACTTGCAACTCAGGGACACAAACCGTCTTTGAAGAAGCTTGAAGATCAAGTGAACTCCATAGCCCAAAGAAGCTTAGATCTTGCAGGTTTTCGGTACTGATTTTCATCCGTACCGGCGTGTATCGGACTGTATCGCCGTATGTATCGGATTCGGGCTGATATGTATCGGGAATCGGCCGATACGGACGTGAAATCCAATCTCACCGGTATACCGGTGAGTATCCGACGCGGCCCTCCCATTTTCCGGTACGAATCGGCCGGTACGAAACATACCGACCGATATTTAGAACCTTGGTTGAAGGAGACAAGTCCATGCTTGATCTCTTCTTGGATGGTTTTTGGCTAGGCGAAAATACTCCGGGCTTGAGAGATCATCTCTTAATCGTAGCCGTCGATCAAATGGCCTACGAACGGTGCATGTTTCTTAAGCTTTACTGCTATAAGCTTGAAACGGACGGTGTAGATTATGATGGGAAGAAGCTGTTTATGTCTGGTGATTTTGTGAAGATGATGTGGAGGAGGACTACGTTTCTTGGAGATGTACTCAAACATGACTACAACTTCATTTTCACGGTACGTTAAAAAAAAAAACATTAAAAAAAAAAAAAACTATTACCCGTTCGGCACAACTCTCAAATTATAATTTCACCTATTGATTTGAGTATGTTGTTTGTTTAGAGTTTTGAAATCATAATTCTACATCCATTTCTCAAAACTCAATTCAAAACATAATCATTATTTTTCAAAACTCATAACCAAACACATAATCCAAAACTCTTTTCAAAATTCAATTCAAATCAATATTTTAATTTTTTAAATATTTTAAACATTTTAAAAATATTTTAATTTTGTTAAGATTTTAAATATTTTAATATTTAAATATGTTACGATTTTTTAAATTTTTTAATTTTTTGAATATTTTTAAATATTTTAATTTCAAAATATTGCGATTTTAATTTTTTAACTTTTAAAATATTTTATAAAAATAAATTCAAACTCTATTTTATAAAAATATTTTTAAATATTTTAATTTTTTTGTTATGTATTTGGTTACGATATGAGTGTAGAGTTGTGAAAGTAGTATGGAGTTTCGAGTTATGTGTTTGGTTATGAGTTTTAAAAATAATTTCTTAATTGAGTTTTGTTTTATGTGTTTGGTTACGATTTAAATTTGAGTGTAGAGTTGTTTTTAAATTTAAAATATTAACATTTTAAATTATTTAAATTTTTTGAATATTTAAATTTTACGATTTAAATTTTTTGAATATTTATTTTAATTTTTTACTTATTAATTTTTTTAGATTATTTAAATTATTTAAATATGGGCAAATTATTGATAAATCACATTTAGAAGTGTTTTAATCCAAGAAGTCCATGAAGGAATTTTTAACCTATTTAGTCCCATGTATGTATAGTTTTATTCCATAAAGTCCTTTTTCTTAATTTACACTATTTTCTTTGACACTTATGTCCTTATATTTAATTTTGATACCCTTATAAATATTTTTTAAATGGTTAGCAACTTTATGATGTGAACATTCATATTTTAAAATTCACATTGGTAGGAATGTAAAATTGGCCCGTGGGCGGCTCGAAACCAGCCCGCGAGCCAGGGCAGGCCCGGCCCGGGCTGTTGACAATGTGAATATTCACATTGATATGTTAACATTCACATTAATAGAAGTGTAAAATTGGCCCGCGTCCCGTGGCGGCGTGAAACCCGCCCGCGACGGCGGGCCCGGTCCGGCCAGTTGACAATGTGAATATTTACATTGACATGTTAACATTCACATTGATAAGAGTATAAAAATGGCCCGCGGCCCATGGGCGGCGAAAAGCCCGCTTGTCGCCCGGGTAGGCCCGGCCGGCCCGGCCCGTTGACAATGTGAATATTCATATTGACATGTTAACATTCACATTGATAGGAGTGTAAAATTAGCCCGCCCCTCGTGGCTGCCCGAAACCCGCCCACGGCCCATGGGCGGCCCGGCCCGGCCTGTTGACAATGTGAATATTCACATTGACATGTTAACATTCACATTGATAAGAGTATAAAATTGGCCAGCAGCTCAGAGCGGGCCCGATCCGGCCCGTTGACAATGTGAATATTCACATTGACGTGTTAACATTCACATTGATAGGAGTATAAAATTCGCCAGCGTCCCAGGGCGGGCCCGACCCAGCCCGTTGACAATGTGAATATTCACATTGACATGTTAACATTCACATTGATAGGAGTATAAAATTGGCCAGTGGCCCAGGGCGGGTCCAACCCGGCCCGTTGACAATGTGAATATTTACATTGATATGTTAACATTCACATTGATAAGAGTGTAAAATTAGCCCGTGCCTCGTGGCTGCCCGAAACCCGCCCATAGCTCATGGACGGCCCGGGGCGGGCCCAGTCCGGCTTGTTGACAATGTGAATATTCACATTGACATTTTAACATTCACATTGATAAGAGTATAAAATTAGCCCGCGGCCCATGGGCGGCCCAAAGCCCGCCTGCCGCCTGGGACAGGTCCGGCCCGGCCCGTGGACAATGTGAATATTCACATGTAAAGTGTAAAATTAGTTCGCGCCTCATGGCTGCACGAAACCCGCCCACGGCCCATTGGCGGCCCGGGGCAGGCTCGGCCCGGCCTGTTGACAATGTGAATATTCACATTGACATGTTAACATTCACATTGATAAGAGTATAAAATTGGCCAGCGGCCTAGGGCAGGCCTGACCCGGCCCGTTGACAATGTGAATATTCACATTGATAAGAGTGTAAAATTGGCCCGCAGCCCGTGGGAGGCCCGAAGCCCGACCGCAGCCCAAGGCGGGCTTGGTCCGACCCGTGACAATGTGAATATTCACATTGACATGTTAACATTAACATTGATAGGGGTGTAAACTTTGCCCGTTGGCCGAAGCTTGCCTGCGGCCCAGGTAGGCCCGGCCCGGCCCGTTGACAATGTGAATATTCACATTGACATGTTAAAATACACATTGATAGGAATGTAGAATTGGCCCGCGGCCCATGGACTGCCTGAAGCCCACCCACGGCCCAGGGCAGGCTCGTTTTGGTCCGGGCCCGAGCATGTCCGAGGCCCTAGGTTAGGGCCTAGGTCATCACTTTGAAGCCCGGCCTGGCCCATCGGCCCGCTTAAGGCCCATTCAAGGCTCGGTTCGAGGCCCAGCCCGCTCGAAGCGCAATGTATTTTTTTGTGAAAAATAATAAAATTTTAGTAGAAAAAATTAAAAAGAATTAAAAAAAAAATGGTCAGGCCCGCCCACACCCGACCTAAGCTTGAGGCTAGGCCCAGGCCCACCGGCCCGACCCGAGGCTCGATCCATCGGCCCGTCCAAGGCCTGAATAACCTTGTACCAGAGCTAGGGCCTGGGCCTAATTTTTTGGCCCGTGGGCCGGCCTGACCAGGCCAGGGAAAGGCTCGTTTGGGCCCAAGCTCGAGCCTACTCTGAGACCCTAGGCTAGGGCCTGGGCCATCACTTTGAAGCCCGGCCCGACCCATCGGTCCGGTTAAGGCCCATTCAAGGCTCGGTCTGAGGCTCGGCCCGCGCCGAGGCCTAGTGTCTTTTTTTGTGAAAAATAATAAAATTTTGGTAGAAAAAGTTAAAAAGAATTAAAAAAAAAATGGCTAGGCCAGCCCCGAGCCGTGGGCGGGTTTCAGGCAGCCACGAGGCACGGGCTAATTTTACACTCCTATCAATGTGAATGTTAACATGTCAACGTGAATGTTCACATTGTCAACGGGTCGAGTCGGGCCCGCCCTGGGCCGCTGGCCAAGTTTATACTCTTATCAATGTGAATGTTAATATGTCAATGTGAATATTTACATTATCAACAGGTCGGGCCGGGCCCGCCCCGGCCAGCCCATGGGCCGTGGGTGGGTTTCCGGTAGCCACAAGGCGCGGGCTAATTTTACACTCCTATCAATGTGAATGTTAACATGTCAATGTGAACATTCACATTGTCAATGGGCCGGGCTTGTGACACCCCTGTTCCGTAGGCTTTTGGCCGCCCATGGGCCGCAGACTAATTTTATACTCTTATCAATGTGAATGTTAACATGTCAATGTGAATATTCACATTGTCAATTTACACTCCTATCAATGTGAATGTTAACATGTCAATGTGAACATTCACATTGTCAATGGGCCGGGCTGGCCCCCCGGGCCGTGGGCGGGCTTTTGGCCGCCCATGGGCCGCAGACTAATTTTATACTCTTATCAATGTGAATGTTAACATGTCAATGTGAATATTCACATTATCAACGGGCCGGACCAGGCCCGTCCCGGGTCGCACATGGGCCGCGGGCAGGTTTCGCACCGCCACGGGACGCGGGCCAATTTTACACTCCTATTAATGTGAATGTTAACATGTTAATTTGAATATTCACATTATCAATGGGTCGGGCTCGCCCCGGCCTGACTCGAATTTTTCCGGGCACCAATGAGGATCGACATGGGCTGGGCCCCTAAACATTAACGATATGAACATTCATATTGACGGTGTAAATATTCACATTAGGGGAATTTTGATAATTATGTCACCCATATGACTTATTGAAACATAAGAAAATAATATGAATTAAATGAAACATAGGTAGATGGAAAGGGTATTTTGGTCTTCTTATCTCAAATAGGACCTAATGAAATAGTCAAAAAGAATATGGGTTGATGGAATAAAGCTCTTAGAAAGTGAATTTATCAAAAAAGCTATCTTTAAATATTTATGATTTAAAATTTTTGAATATTTATTTTGAAAAAAAATTATTTCCTTTGTAGCGTTTTCAATTAAAAAATTGATTAATGTTATTTTTTGTTAATAATAAATTTTTTTAATTGAATTTTAAAAAGAGTTTGGTTATGAGTGTTGATTAGAATTTTTAATAGTGTGAAGTAGTGTGTTTTGTTATGAGTTATAACAATTTGAATTAAGTTTAAAAAACTCTTTCTAAAACTCATACCCAAACAAATTTTCTTACTTCACATGTAAATCAAACTTTCAAAATTCAATTTCACACTCAATTCAACATTTTATTAAAAACTCATAACCAAACAAATTTTCTACACTCAAATCATAATTCCACAACTTACAAACTCAAAATACAATTCATATTCTCAAATCATATTTATAAAATTCTACCAAACACAATACTTTTATTTATGTTTTTGTTGACTTTTACCATGGTTTAGAAATTTGTTTTAAACATAATTGATCAAAATCCTTAAATAATGAAGGTTGTCATTCCCTAGAATAACATAGGATTGCCACTTTGGGCTTTGGGGAAAAAAATGGTATAGGGAGATGTAATTTTTTGATATAACACAATTTTTTTTTAAGGTCAGGTTTGTAAAATGTTATTTTATTAGTAAAGCTATATTATAATTAAAGAGGTCGTTGCTGCTTCACTAACTTAATTGATTTGCATTTCACAAGAAATTTTTTTTAATTTTTATTTACTTTTGAGTGTGACAATCAACACTAGGTTGTAATATTATTCAATTGTGAAAAAAAAAAAAAAAACAAATGAACAAACAACTAGTGTAATTATTTTTCCGT